TTCATTGTACCATAGAATAATATGTTTTTATCAATTTTTGCACCGACCATTTTGGGGCAAAAAGCCCAGTTTGTTAATGGGGCAAAAGGCCCATCCTGAGCTTTTTACCCTTTGCATTATTTAAGTAGAATGTTCAAATTTTAACTTTATTTTATTTATAGATATGGTTAGAAATTACAAAAGGAAGACAAAAAGAGGAAGTTATGGAGCAGAAGGTTTACAACGGGCTTTAGATTCAGTAAAAAATGGTATGTCTTTGCGTAAAGCTGAAAACAGTTTTGGAGTTTCAAGGAAGACATTGAGAAGGCATTTGCAGGGCAAAGTAAGACAAGTTGGGAGCAATAAATTAGGAAATCATGTGAATACTTTTTCTATTGAAATTGAACAAGATCTTGTTAAACATATCCAAATGATGGAAAGAGCATTATTAGCTAGAAACGAAACAAGTGAACCTACAAATACAAATGAAGAAGCCGGCAATGCGGTGGATGACGAAGCATCGGTTAATGTGATGGAGACTGATAGGATTGCAACAGGAGATAGCAATGAGTCCGATGAAAATCAACTAGATAAAACAGCTGATCATCCTGGTTTATCCGAAGCATTGCAGATTATATCAGAACTAAGCCCTATTCCAAGGATAAAGAATGTACGCAGTCGCAAACGAAAAACCGAAGCAGCAGCTGTAATAACTTCTAGTCCTTATAAAGCAATGTTAATTGAAGCAAATGCAAAGAAGACAAAACAGAACAAGCAAGTAGTAGTTGAAAATAATAATGAGGAAAATGATGAAGACGAAATCGATGTAATCGCAGACAAATCCAAGAGAATGAAAAGTGGAGATGACAAAGAAACCGGGAAAAGGAAGCAATATGCGAGAGCAAAATCAAAAAGGACGATCAAAAGTAATGCATCAAATGCTAACGTGATAAGAAAAGGGTCAAAAGAACGAAGATGTGTAGGTTCTGTTACTAACAGTGATGATACACCATGTTGCATGTGTGGTAAAAGATTTAACGAACCACCCATTGATGACTGGCAGCAATGCCCAGAATGTCTCAACTGGTACCACGACGGCTGTGGTCCTGATGACACTGCTGCCTGCTTTCACTGCTAATAGGCATAATCAATTCAACTAGTCTTACTGTAGTTTTTTAGCTGTCTTTTTAGCTGTATGAATTAGTTTTTTAGCTGTCTTTTTGGGTTATGAATTATTTTTTTAGATATAGAGCTAAATTCTATGAATTAGTTTTTTTTAGCAACTTTTAAGCTCTAAGAATTAGCTTTTAGCTGTGTTTTTCAGCTCTATAAATTAGTTTTTATAGCTATCTTTTTAGTCTATAAATTTTTAGCTCTTTTTAGCTCTATTAATTTTACGGTGCTGTTTGCCATTGTCATATGATAGCATATATGGTGCTACTTGCTAATATTATGGTGCTAAGTGTTCTACTAAAACTATTGTTGAACATTTTTACACACAAATATATTGTGACTAGTAAAAAGTGTATTGTTGCAATAAATTTTTATTGTAAAAAAGGAATATTTCAAGCTATTAACGTTTGGGGTAAAAGGCCCAGGGTAGGGGCGTTTTGCCCCAGCAATGGGGCAAAAGGCCCACTCTATAGCAGTTTATAAAAAGCATATTTCCATTAAAACTTGAGTAGCCATTAAGAAATTAACTTTAGATACTTAAGTTTATTATGTATCTGAAATAATGGTAACATAAAATTCTAGATACGTTTATTGGATTAGTTAAAAAAAGACGAAATTGCTTATGGTGGGCTTCTTGCCCCACCTTACCCTATGAATAAAAATACCAAAGTTAAAAATAGTAATAATTGTGGTTACGATAAATAATTAAAACTAAAAGAAATAAAACTTTAACAAAAAACATGATAAAAATTAAAAATAAAATAAAGAAAAACAAAAAAACATTTAAAAAAATGAGAAAGTTTAATATTGTTACATGCACACACAAACACAAATATAAAGATATATACACATACTTACTCACATGCATAGATTCACACATATTTGCACATAAATACACACGCGCGCATACATGCACTCACATAGGTATGTATACATACACATATAGATACGTATACAGCTTTAAAAATATATATATTTTTTTAAATGTCTAAAATTAAAAACATTTTAATTAAAAAACATACGATGCAAACAAAATGAATTATACTCTACAATGCCCAATTAACAATACACAAGAATACAAAAACAAAAAGCAACAACAAAAAAATACAAACGTCCCTCAAAAATAATAAAATTAAAAAAATATTCTTTTACGTTTCTTCAAAAACGGAGCAATTTTTATATTTTATTTTAATTGCTTTTAATTACTTTTCATTTTCGAATGTTTTTTTTTTTAACTTTCGATTTTGTCTTTTCTCGTTTCTTTTTATCTTTTTTTTTTTTTTGTTAGTTTGTTTGATTTGGTTTTTTGTTTGTTTTTTTCTTTTTTATTTCCTTCTTTTTTCTTCACTCTCTTTATATTTATTTTTCTTATTTTATTATTTTTTCTTTTTCTTTTTTTTTTTTTCTTTTTTTTTTTTTTTTATTCTTTGATTTATTTATAAAATCGTTATAAAAAAGCGTCCGCCATTGCGGAAGTCTCTGCACTGCAATCACAGTACTAAAATAAAGTGATATTTATTACTTTAAATTTAAATTATAACTAATTTATTTCATAAAACTATTATTTTTTAGATTATAACTAAATTAATATTACATTTAAATTAAATTGTAATTTTTAAATAGAATTTGTTGTTTATTGTTGCAGTGGACTACCGGTATCTTAGAATCCTGGATAACTCGAACTTCCAGAAACTCGAAGTACTTTTGAGTTCCCCTTAAACTCTCACTAATACTTTCTTATAAAAACTACTCGATAACTCGAATTCCTGTTAGCTCGAACATTCGATCAAGCTAATTGCGCAGATAAGTTCTTTAAAAAAATTTAGAGAAACTTATTTGAACAACGATAAAGGCCTTGCATTGCAACGCAAACATATTAATCGTTTGACGTAAGTTTAGTTTATAGTATAAGTTATACTAACGTGCGTTGGAATATTATAATAAAAGTCGTTGCGTTTACATTTTACAATCGCTACTGTCGCAGTAAAGAGAAAAACACAAAGTCAATCAAAAAAAAAACACACTACTTTAGGGGAAATTGGGGAAGGATCGTCAAAGTCAGGTTGTAATGAAATATGAAATTCCAAAAAATACGCTGTCAACATGGATCAAAAATAAAACAACTTAAAACGTATAAGAATTAAAGAAACATTTTCAAATTTAAATAAACTCGTTTTTGAATGGCTTTTAAATGTAAGGAGTAGAAACGTAGCATTAACAGGAATAGTAAAAAAAAACAAAAGCCAAAAAACTAGCTGAAAAAATTTATATCAAAGATTTCAAGCGTCTGAAGGTTGGTTTGATCGTTGGAAAAACAGGTATAAGGTTTCTTTCAAGGCGGTATGTAGTGAGGGTAACACTTGTACAGCTAAAATGACCACACTATGGAAGGAAACAACTTTCCCCATAAAATATTTTCCACGGACAAACCTGATGAAATTTATAATGCAGATGAATTTGGATTGTTTCTTCGCATGCAACTTAAAAAGTCAATAAATCTGCGATCTGAAGCTTGTATAGAGGGAAAGCACAGTAAAATTTGTTTTACTGGAATACCTGAAGCAAAAGCAGGGAGTGATAAATCTCTTTTATTTGTAATAAATAGTTTGTAATAAGTAAATCAAAATCACCTCGCAGCTTCAAATGAGTTGAGCAATTACCTTACAGATACAGATATCAAAATAAAAGCTGGATGGAAAGCGTACTGTTCAAAGAGTGGAAGTGGATACAAAGTTTACAAACCAAAAGAAAAAAGTAGCATTTATAATATATAACTACCGAATACACACGACGATTGATAATTTAAAATCTATTGAGCTCATTTCCTTACCATCAAACACCACGTCTTTTTTTGTTTTGGGTTTCTAAAACAGCAACTTATAATTGCAACTTTAGCAGAAGCCAAAACAGCAACTTATAATTGAAACTTTAGCAGAAGCCTGTACCTGTCGAAAAAGTAGATAATATCTGTCATTGTACCATCTACTTTAGCTAAGGTTTTTTATTGAAAAACAAAACAAAAAACAAAAACATCAAAAACTTTGTCCGAACAACACTCTCACCAATATCAGTTTCTTATTTTTAACTTGTAGTTTTGTTCTTGTTTTTATCTTGTAGATAAGAAAATTTTGTTTTAAAGAGGACTTATTTTAGATGCATAAACTATTGCGGGCCCTCTCTGTAACACTATAAAAGAAAGCTTTCAAACCCAACACAAGCAAAACCATAACAAGCGCTGAAACATTGAAAAACTGAAAAAAACAAAACAAAAAAAAAACAAGGAAAAAAACAAAAAAACTAAAGATTATGAAAACCTGTATAAAGGTGCTAGACCATCTTTAATGTAAAAAACCTAACCAGTTTAGCTATTTTATGAATGAAGATAAATTTTACTCATATTAAATAATATAAGACATAAATTATAATTAACAATATAAAAATTATATAAAACGTAATTATACAATACATAGTTATAAAAGTCATAATCTGGTATTAATTTCACTCACATTTTTATTAATCAACACCCCTGTGACAAAAGGGCTGATGCAACCAGCCAAAGTTCCAGCAGTATTTGAAATGCCAATAAGCAGAGCTCCAAATCTCGGACTTATATCCAAATGATTGATTAAAAAACTGCTATTATTCACTCCGAGAAATGTATTTATCAAGACCATGCAAGCAACAGACCAAACTACATGGCTGCAGCCGGAGTAACCTTCTAATATCAAAAATAATGCCGATAGGTAAGATCCTAAAAAAATTTAAATTCAAAATGCGTCTGTCTAAATTTATTTTTAAAATAGTAAAAAGTAAAAAAAACATGCATATTTTAAAATTTGCATTTTTACACATTACATTTTTAAATACATCTGCATAAAAGAAGAGTTAATTATTATGTGCATTTTTACACATTTACATTCGCCCAAAATTAAAAAACTATGAAATTAAAATGTAAAACATTTTTTATGACCACTATATAATAAAAGAACAAACAAATTCATTTTTTGAAATGGTTCAAAATCTTGATTACAAACAGAAGTTCTGTTTGTAATCAAGATTTAAGACTACGTACAAATAGTTTCTTACTCTTCTTATTAAAAACTTTGTAGCAACATTAACAAATTATTTCTGTTATGTGGCCACTTTTTCGTTTCCAGTTATTATTGCTGTAAAAATTAAACTAACCAGGGGCCAGTCCTAAAAATCCATAAAACTTGTAGTTTTTTGCGTAAAAAGCGAAGAAAAAAAAAATCCATTGCTATAAACATTACAAATAATCGTTTTTACGAATAAAACTTCGCTAAATAGGCCAATGCTATAAACGAACAAGGGAATCACTTTTTTCGATAAAAAACTTTAGGTAGACCTATGGATCTCAATTTTAGATATTTTCTCGAGGTTTTCCCACCATTCTTGTAACAACGCTAGCGCTTTAAATTTACAGTTTCTTTGTTTATTTTTGTCTTTGGATATTTTATGTGCAAAACTAAAAAGCATTGTTGCTATGAAGTTTATACAAGCCACAAAGATATATAAAATTAATATAGACGTTTTGTATTGCGGTATTTTAAGTATAAAAGACACAATCAATAGGTGATCAAACTTAACATACCTAAACATAGCTATTCTAAACATTATTTTTCACAAAGAAATTGGCAAAAAGTTTTCAATATTCCTTTGTTATGTTGTTAAACTCATTAATAAACAAATTACTTCTAAATTACATAGATCACTCTGCTCCGTGTTGTGTGTTGGAAACTAGGTATGTATGTATTTAACTTTCAATGGTTTTTCAACAAAATTTTCAATGGTTATTTTGGTTAAACAAATTTATTTTAATGCTCGACATAAAGAAATGTATAAGTTTTGCCTACTGGCAAAATATTTTCATATTTATTTCAACACAAGAGGATAGAAAGTTGTCTAAAGAACTTAAAATGGTACTTGCATTGAAGATCAGAGAAAAAAAAGATGTTCTTCTCGGAAAACATAGTATATTTTAATTAGTAAACTATCTATCCATATATATATATATATATATATATATATATATATATATATATATATATATATATATATATATATATATATATATATATATATATATATATATATATATATATATATATATATATATATATATATATATATAAGCATTTGTATTCTACTCCACAGTAGTAGTATACTTTACTATACAAAAATATTTTATAAATATGTAATGATTCAATCAATTTTCTTTTAACATTTTAGGCCCATTTATTACCATGAAATATAGAAACAAAGTTTGGGAAGATATAAGATCAAGTTTAAACAGTCTAGGGGCAAAAATTGAAGACATTAATCAATTGCGTAGTCGAGAATGGGATTATTTGCATAGAACTACAATTGCCAAGTTTTCTAAAAGCCTAAAAACAGGTAGTTTTAAAGTGTGTGTGTGTTTATGTTTTCATGGGTTTTTTAATTAGTTAAGTGTTTTTTTACTAAATCAGACATTACTTTTAAGGTGCTGAGGGAATCCAATTAACAGAATTGGATAACGTTGTTTTAGACATAGTTGATAGAAAATCAATAAATGTGTCAGGAATTGATGTCACTGATATTAATATCTCGTTTGGTTCAAATGATGAGGTAATTCCGCTCACTTCAAGTCAACCTTCAACACCAAGTAAAGAAATTAGGTCAATTTTCTCTGAACAGTCTTTAACTGCAGCTTCTTTTATTACATCTATATCTGGCATATTTTAATTATTTGAGTCAAGTTATTTTATAAGATATAAGTTTTTAATGTATAATGAAAGTTTTAAATTTTTTACTAGTTGTTGATAAAATGTATAAAACAAATTCTACCTATAAATTTACTTGCATACTTACTACCTATAAAATTACTTGCATTAGGTCCAAGATTTGATAATACAGGCACCCCTCATTTAGACACTATTGCTTTTGCTGAATCAATACTTCAAGGTTATATATATATATTTTTGATTTGGATTTTAGTATTTAGTTAACTAATATTAAATTAATAGTATTTAACAGTAATTAAATTGAATTTTATTTGTAACTAGATTTTTATTTATACAGCTTATGAATGATAAAATACCACTTTTTAACGAGCAGCACTTTATAAATACAGACATGGTAATTTTAATACTTTATAAAACTAAATTTAAATAATATTCTAGATTACAGTTTAAAATAGTGTATTACGCTTTTTTTGTTTTAGGAAGCAATCCTTAGGCAGTAAATGAAAGGGAAGAAAATAAATGAGGAATGAATATAACTTTTTGATTAGTTTCATTATTTTAAAATTAAAAAAATATATATTGTAACTATCATTAACCCTCATTTTGTTGAATAGTTTAATTGTAACCAGTGAACTCTTTGTGTTGTAACCAGTGAACTCTTTGTGTTGTACCCAAAAAACTCTTTGTGTTGTAACCAGTGAACTCTTTGTGTTGTACCCAAAAAACTCTTTGTGTTGTAACCAGTGAACTCTTTGTGTTGTACCCAAAAAACTCTTTGTGTTGTAACCAGTGAACTCTTTGTGTTGTACCCAAAAAACTCTTTGTGTTGTAACCAGTGAACTCTTTGTGTTGTACCCAAAAAACTCTTTGTGTTGTAACCAGTGAACTCTTTGTGTTGTACCCAAAAAACTCTTTGTGTTGTAACCAGTGAACTCTTTGTGTTGTACCCAAAAAACTCTTTGTGTTGTAACCAGTGAACTCTTTGTGTAGCATTTTCTTACAAAAACAAGACAATAAATAGAATCTTTATTTAATAGTATTTCTTTATTATTAATACCCATGGCCTGCACTGGCACCACAAGGCCACTTTTAACGTAACCCTAAAAGAGGATTTTCTTATACAATTTAAAATGAATTTTCAAGATTTAAAGTTATTGTTAGCAATTGGCAGAAGTCCTAATGCGCATAAGTGAAAATCTTCACAAATGCGAAGCAGTTAAAAAAACTAGTGCAAGTGTGAATTCGCATACCTGTGCCAAACGGTTTCAACTCTTTTAGATTATAGATAACAAATCCACACATAATGAGCTTAGAGGCATAATAAATGAATAAAACAAAAAAAAACATCAGCTTTCCTTCCTGAAACCCAACAGTAGATCTATATATGTACATTTTGCTGCAAGTGTCCCAAGTATCAGTGATTGAATATATTTTACTTTTTCATAAAATTAAAATCGTACTTATATAGATTTGCATTTATGAAGTTGGCAACTAATCAGCCTTCCTATTAGTAACTAACTTTTATGTAAAAAAAATTGGGTAGCTTAAAAAACATTCCAAAAGAGTTTACACATTTAACTGTTTGGGTCTAAAGTTCTATAAAAATTTCTTACGTTAAATAAAAAATTATTCATCTTTGTTTAATTATCATTACTATTTTCTTTTTTTTTAATATTCGTTACCAACCATAATATTCATAAGTATTAATATTCCAAATATTTTGAACACATTTTCTTGATCCATGCCTAAAATATAGTTATAGACCTCATGCTCGAGAACAAAAAAGAAAATATATGAAATTTTATTAAAAGTTTCTTTGTCCATTTATTTTAAGTAAAGTTATTAAGTAGTTGATTTAGTCTATTGAAAGCACCATCATTTTGATTTGCTTGAGTTAGATTTTCATAAACATGTTCTTCGTCGCCATTTTTAAAATCATTACCATTATCTCCATATCGAAGACACAGATTATAGATAACAAATCCACACATAATGAGCTTAGAGGCATCTTCAAACTTATGCAAGCAAATTCCTGTTTTCAATGCATAAAACCTGTTTTTAACAATCCCAAAACAACGCTCAATTATGTTTCTGGTTTTCCTATGCGCTATGCTGAAACATTTTTGTGCACCATTTGGATCACCAGGAAAAGGTGAAATTAACCATTCTCGACATGGGTAAGCAGAGTCTGCCAAAATTACAGCACCATTAAAAGGAAGCTCTCCATTTTCGAATTTGTTCCAAAGATTAGAATTTCTTATAACCTAAACAATGTCATTTGCAATAAAAATCTAAATTACATTATGAAAAGCCTTATTGCACCAACAGTTGCAAAAATAATTTTTTAGCAGACTTACATGTGCATCATGCCATCTTCCTGGACTGTTAGTCGAAGCATAAAAAATGTATGTGTACGGGTCCACATATTGCCATTGCATTTATGCAATGAACATGGTGGCGATAAATTAGAGAACCTTCGTGATCGTTGGGAGGGTTAGATAGGATTATATGAGAGCCATCCAGAACACCACATACGCAAGAAAAACCTCCAATTTCCATAAATTTTTGTGGAAGAGTAGCGCAATCATTGGGCCATTTTATGATCTCTTGTCGAATCAAATTTTATAAGATAACAGCTGTTATAATTCTTAATTTACTTACTAATTTAATGAACCAGAAATTTTGTATTAAAAAATTAAATTGTAAAGAGTTTAATTAATATAATATGCTAACATTAAAAATGGCTTCTTTGACAATGTGAATAATGCAATAAATTGTGTTGGTAGAAATTCTATGGCTGTCTCTGAGAACATGTAAAAAAAAACATTTGTGCCAAGAAAATTAAGAAACATCATTATTTGGTGACGTACTGAAATGCTTTGAGTTGCCTTGAATACTGCTGCAAATCATTTTGGAGTTTTATTTCTAAAAAATCTAACACAGGTCTTGGGACTCGATACTGCTCTAGAAAAATATTGTCAGAAATATCTTTGTTAAAGAAGCAACCATTAAACTAAAGTATTAAATAAAAAGAAAATTACTATAAAATTACATATAAACAAAGCAACCTTTTAAAGAAAAGTTCACGTGTTGTAAGCTATCTAGATGTGCTTAGTTGATCGATCAAAAAACCTATACCTATAGATATAGGTTAGAGAGTCTCTTTCAATCAACAAGATATAAAAGTTATGAACTTTTAAATAAGAATGTTTTGAACGCAAACCTCTCGGGGCAGTTGGTGGTGAAGCTCATTTTGCGCAACTTCTAAATCCACTTCTTCATCAGAAAAAATTAAATCCATTTAAAATTTTAATTTTAGATATAACTTTTTTAAAAACCGAATACTAAAATGTAATAAATGGCCTTGACATATAATTGATAAAATTCGCATAACAGTTGTGAGTGACGTATTATTTCTTTAAGTTTTATAGCAATGGTAAAAAAAAATGTCAAACAGCGAGAAAATCTTTGTGTTTACGCATTTTTTTATGTAAAATAATTTACTTGAAAAATTATGTTTTTACAAAAGATTTTTTTTCCTGATAAAATCTTTGAATTGTTTATAGCATTGGCCCCAGTTTTGAAATTATTAAAAACATTTAGATGTTTGTTTCTTGCTCTTAATGCCAGTCATTAAATAAACTAAGGTATTTTGCAATTGCGTATTAGTAAAATTATACTGGAGCAATATGTAATACCAAAAACAGATCAACACAATGAAGATAAAATATTAGAGTTTAGTTAACTTAACTTAGTATTAAGTTTAGTTCTTATCACAACAACTAAGCTTCATTTCAAACTTCTGGATTATTATTTTCTTAAGCATATACAAAACAGACTTCACATGTTTCACTTGTTTTCACTACACCTGTTTAACATCTTAATATGTTGGTGTGTAAGAAACCTGTTACTTGTGACTAACTTGGTGTGCATAAAAAAAAGATTATTAGAAGTATTTGGTTGATTTACACTTAATTTTTTCCCTTTTTTTTTGCTATCAATGTAATGAGGTTGTTAATACTTTCTATAGACTTTAATTCATTAAGCGCACTCGTGAAGACAAAGTAAGTATATATATCAGGCTTTTACAGGAAGACATGCGATTTCACGTCTTTATATGACCACGCAAGTTACATTTTGCTATGACGGCTTGACCGCGGCTAGTTCAAAAAACATTTTAGAAACGTGATAAATAAAAAATATTCTAAAAAAGTGAAATTAATTACATCAAAACTTCTTAACAAATGTTTTGATATTAGCGAAACGGTTTTAAATAAAGTAACGATTTACTGAAAAAAAGTTTTGTTTTATAAATATAATTGACAGTTGTATATACTTTTTAAATTTAAAACATATAAATTGTTTAAGTGTTTATTTCTAAAATAATATTTCTAAAAATTGTTTTGTTTTAATAAACAATGATATTCTAAAACTACAAAAGTCTCCTTAACGAATTTAAATATAAGAATGATTAAAGTTAATGCATTTAAAAAGATAAACAAAACTTTGTTAAAAAAAAATTTTTGAAAACCGTTACAATTTAATAAGTTTGATCTTAAATACTTATATATTATCGAAACGCTTTTAATAAAGTAAAAAAAAAAACTTTTAATTAATTTAAAAAAAAGTATTTATAAAATGTTTTTTTATTTTATTTATATAACAAAAAAATCGTTAAAACATTTTTTTTGTGTGTGGTCATATAAAGACATAAAATCGCACATCTTCCTGTGAAAGCCTGTATATATATATATATATATATATATATATATATATATATATATTATATATATATATATATATATATATATATATATATATATATATATATATATATATATATATGTATATATATATATATAAGTTTTATTATAGTAAAATATAATAATTTACTATTATATTTTAAACAAATAACAATAATATAATCAGCATATTTAATTGATTAAAAAATAATGATTTTGATAAGTTCAAAAGCTAATCAAAACCTTATTTTCTATAATTACTGTTGAACTTTTTTTTCTTCCTAAATTTAGCATTACCTTGACATAAGTGTACCCCTTCACATAGACTTAAGCTTGCAATAAAGTATTAATTGCTTCTGCATCAACAAACCACTGCTTCTTTTCACTTAATGTTTCTTTATTGACAATTAAATTTAGTTTGGACAATATTAAATTTTTTATATAGAACAATAAATTTTTTTTTTTTTTTTGTTTAAATTAACAAAGATTAGCGCAACTAATAAAAATAAAGATTAATTTAGATTAAAAGATAAAGATAATTTATTAGGCTTTTTTAGTGCTTAAGAAAACCATTACAATAAATTTTTAAAATTTAATATTCATAGTTTTTAATGGAAAAAAAAAGCATATTTGGCATGTTTTACACAAGATGGTAAAATTGGCGTGTTTTACACATGATGGCAAAAAACATTTATTACACAAGATAGTAAAAACGTATTTTCAAAACAAAACATAATTCAAAAATAATTTTGGATTGTCATATCTTTATATTTAAAGAAAACAAATTTCATTAAAAAATAAACTAATTTGTTAAAAAACGATCTAAAAAATAAACCATTTTGTCAAAAAACGATCTAAGAAATAAACCAATTTGACAATTTGTCAAAAATGGTCTAAAAAACAAATTCGTTAAAAAACAGTTGTAGTCTTGTGAATGCCATAAAATTGTAAAAAAACATCAAAAAGATTATGACAATCATTGAGAATGGTTTTTAAATTGTGAGGAACTTTATTGTGTTCACTCAAAACAGTTTTACTTTGAATGAAAGAATTACTGATATTTTAAAATAATTAAAAACAAAAAAAAGTTGTATGAAATAACAATATAATTACAACCAATAAAAAAATACCAGTTAACGACATTATTCTGCGAGTACAAGCTGTAGAACACCTTTTTTTACGAATAAAATCGCTAACCAAAGTTGAAATTTGGAAACCAGCAAATGCAGCAATAAATGGCAAAGCAGAAAAAAAACCATTCTAAAAATAAAAAAAGTTACTAACTCATAAACTCATAAATGCAAAAAAATTGAGCAAAAAATTTTTAAAATTTAAAAAAATCTTTGATTTTACATAAAGTTTTTCAAAACTCTTTAATTTAATTTTAAAAACTAACTTTTATTATAAAAAGAATCCCGAAACCAAACAAAGAATAGATAAACTTTATGTATTCAAATAATTATTAAATGTTTTTATTTTATTATAAAGAGTATCCTGAAACCTAACAAAGAATAGATAAACTTTATGTATTCAAATAATTATTAAATGTTTTAATTTTATGAGCAAGCACAAAGTAATTAAAAATAACAAAAATGCAATAAAAAAAATACAACTCAAGAAATGCAGTTAAAAGGTTTGAAAGTTAAAGGAAAAAAAAAGTCAACATTACCAAAAAAGTGAAAGGAGTAAGCACAGTTGCAAAGTAAGCACAAAATAACAATTTATACTAATTAGGCAAGTGTAAAGCTTGCATAAAATCATAAAACTGGCTTTCCAACCTAACACAAAATTTTATTTTTTTAGACTATTAATATTTAAAACTGAAAGAAAATCGATATACCACAGCACAACTACATCTGTCATAATAAAAACCAAAAATCATATTATCAGATATCATACATCTTCCATTTTAGACAACATAAATTTTATAAGGTTTTAAATATCTGAGAATTTTTTTTTTGTAATACTATTGTTTTCTTTTTTTTAAAATTAAAAAAAAAAATCAATGGAAGAGTCCATGCGGAAAAACAGCAGATCACATTTTTAATTTTTTAAAAGTATTTTAATTTTTTAAAAGTATTAATTTTTTAAAAGTCTTGTAGATTACTTTTTGAATTATATCTTGAGTGATAAATCAAGATGAAAAAAACATTCCTTAAGAAAAATGAAAATGAAAAAACAACTCAGTCCACTGTTAACAATATAAAAGGGAGGTAAGTCACATAAACTTGAAATATTCCTAGTCACGTAATCTTGGAATTCAATGATATGCTTTGAAAATAAACAAAACTTGATAAAGATGGCGGTTTATGATGAATCTATTGAAGTTACTAATGAAGTAAAAAAAAAAAAAAAGCTTAAGAAAGATCTTCAGAAAAAAAAAAAAAATTTATAACTCATAAAACAGGTCTAAACTGTAACATCAGAATTAAATGTTTTGAACTGTAACATCAGATTTAAAGTGTTTTGAAAGAAAACAGAGTTTGTTTATTATCATTACTATTATTATATAATAGTTGTCATTATTAGTATTGTTATTATTTTTTAAGTCTATCAACATTGTTTTATATTATAGGAATTTTGTATAGAAGCATAATAGTTTTGATAGTTAAAAAGGACATTAATGTTTTATAAATAGTATTTTTAGAATATAATTTTACAAATATATATATAATCTTTAAATTTAGAAACATAATAATAGGTAGGCCACCTAAAGATATGAGGGGAAAACACTCTAAGAGACCACATAAAATTACAGATGATGTATGTAATAAAATAATAAACCATATTTCATAATTCAGAGCAGTCTCACTATTCTCCAGAGAAAACTAGCATATTAATTTGCCTGAAGAACTGAATATAAATAAAAAGTTTAACATGTTTATGATTTTTCACCCAAATGTAAAAATTTGTTACAAATCATATGACATTATTTAACAGCAAGTTTAATGTTGCCTTTGGTTATCCGCGAACAAATATACATTCAAAGTGTGATGAGTTGATGGTTATCCGCGAACAAATATACATTCAAAGTGTGATGAGTTGATGGTTATCCGCGAACAAATATACATTCAAAGTGCGATGAGTTGAAAATAAGATGTTTCTTCAAAAGACATCTCAACTAATCTTAAAGCACGAGATTTAAAAATCAATCTCAAAAAGCTTGAGTTTAAAAGAGATTTTCACCAAAAAAAAGGTGAAACTTTTTACAGAAGAAAAAGAGAATCAAGATTAAAACTATTGTGAGAGTTTTGAAGCCACTTTTTTTTGACTATCAAAAAATTTAAATGTGCTAAAAAAAATGAAAAAATTTCATTTTTTTTTTCGTTTAACATTCATTTGTTGGCTTTTGTTTTTATCTACAGTTATGATGAAACCGCTACCAAAAAGGATGCAGATGAAGTGACCTCAATACTGTATGATTTTTTTATTCACCATTCAAGTCCATTAGTAAAAAAAAATAGATTCGTTCTGTAATTCTTGTATTGGTCAAAATAAAAATTATATTGTCTTAAGGTTTATGGATTATATGGTTCATTATCGTAATTTATGATTTATTTTTGAGGGAAGTGGGAAGGTTTATTTGTAAATGAGACAGTAAATAAAAATACAAATTTATGCATTTGGCACAGTGTATTGGATTTTTGATTTTTATAACTTACCATTTAGATAATTTAGAACTTTATTGTTACATCATCCGAGGAATACCTGAAATTACAAATTTTTAATTGGTGATTCAAGCATTGTTGAACTTAGTTTACCTGTAATGAGTTTAAAATTTAAAATGAGAGAAATTTCAATAATGACCCATTTACAGACAGCTTATGTATAATTTTTTCAAAAAAAAAAAAAAAAAGACTTATCAGCTTCTGCATTGTCTACTGCGAATCTGAAAGAGAGCACGGACATTTTTGTGTACTCAAAGCATTTTAGTGTGCTGAAATAAGATTCACAACAAGAAGTTGAAACCACTATATGTGTGATATGTAACTATGAAAAGCACTATATGTGTGATATGTAACTATGGAAACCACTATATGTGTGATATGTAAACTATGTAACTAACATTAGGCTCACTGGTGAATGACCGTTGAATATTGACTGGGTCAAAGCCCTATTCTGCTTCTAAAGCATAAAGGTCAGTTTATTTAAAGTTGGTGATTACAAACCACAACAAAAGAATTAACATCAATCCAAAAAAAAAATCAATTATTTCCTCTGCTTTAATCTTTTATTGCGCTTATGACTTTGTATTTAAATCAAGATAACGCTGTTAAGCCAAATTGACTTTACGACATAAAAAATAGTCTTCTTTAGGTTCACAGGGGTTGTAAAAAAGTTTCCAAAACTATATGAAAAGGTTAAAAGTTTCATTGAACATTATAAAAACCTAGAGCAAAAAAAATTATAACATTTGACAGAATCATGTTAATTTCAAATAATTCTAAATTCAAATAATTTAATAATTGCCTTAACTAAACCAAGGAGAAAAAGTTTCGCTGCACATACTTGGTGCCTAACTTCTAACCTTTCTAAAGACTAAAATATAAATATTTTCATGCAAAAATAAAATATTTACAGCTGTAACTTCATTAACTACACCAAGTAGTATCTTGTTTGAAACATCTCATTTTTTCAACAATAGAGAAAAACATTAATATTAAATAATCATTATATTCTCACTCCAAGTGAGAATATAATGATTAAATAATAATATTAAATAATCATTATATTCTCATATATTTAATATTAATATTCATTATATATATATAAGAATATTAATATTAAATAATCATTATATTCTCAAACTTGATTATCTGACTTCGCTAGCGAAGACCATTATTTCTCTCAAAGTGAAGCGTTTTTAATGTTACAGTAATATTTTTTGAAATTCTTTTTCATTATGCCAATTAAATGTGGAATTGTGAGTTTTAAGGGAAATTATAATGAACTTAATAAGTGTCGTGTTTTTAAATTACCTAAAGATGAAGTTGAGAAACAGAAATGGATTAACGTGCTTCCTCCACATAAAGATTTTGTTATAGAGCCATCTAAATTTTTTATATGTGAAAAACATTGGCCTGAAAATACAGAAACAATTAAGCTTTCTGGTGGCTATACTCGACCACTATGTGCACCAAGTATTTTTGATGTTCCTTTTTCTTGTCTACCAATACCTAAGTACTTGGAAGCACTAAAAAATCACGAAGTTGATTATAACTGGTGTTATAAAAAGACTCAATAGCAAAGCAATAATCAGCTATAGAAAAACTTTTGTTACACAATAGTTTAAATTGTCTTGTAATAAAATTCAGTTTCTTTTGCTTGATATCATCATTTATTTTAAATTCATGTTCTATCACCTTTTCAATAATATCATTAACATGCAGTACCAATCTAAGCCTGAGGATCAGCAACTTAATTATTTTCTTAACAAAGACAAAATAAATTCGTTTTCTGAATTCTATCCTGACAAAGAATTACACAAAAAGTATGAAAATATTGTAATATTTCGGCAAAAAGATAAATTCTTATGTATTTTTATGTCGAAGGATTTTAAAGAGAGGTTCATAACAGTAGTTGTTTGTAATAAGTATAAATTGTGTTCATCCCTAACTTTTTTTCTGCTTTTAAATATGGTATTAGCGTTCCATTAAGCAATATACTGAATCAATAATAGCTTAGTCTTCTACTCACAATCTTTTGAAGCAGTTAATTTAGTTTAAAATTATAATCTGCATGTTAATGATATTATTGAAAAGGTGATAGAACATGAATTTAAAATAAATGATGATATCAAGCAAAAGAAACTGAATTTTATTACAAGACAATTTAAACTATTGTGTAACAAAAGTTTTTCTATAGCTGATTATTGCTTTGCTATTGAGTCTTTTTATAACACCAGTTATAATCAACTTCGTGATTTTTTAGTGCTTCCAAGTAAACAAAAACTGCAGTCTATAATTTCTGCCACAAACACTAACCTTGTATTACAAAAAACATTTATAAAAGTAAAAAAAGATCATTAGAAAAATGCTTTTTTGATAGTTGATGAGGTAAATATTAGGCCAACAGTTGCTTATTCAGACGGAGTTTTATATGGCATGGCAAAAAATGATCCAGAGTCTAAAGCAACTTCTATGCTATGTGTAATGATAAAATGCTTACATGGTGGACCTAGTTTAATGGTTTCTATTACACCTATTCACAAACTAACATTAATGTATTAATTCAGTGTTGTGAAAAAAGCTGCTGTTTTAGCTGAAAAAAATGGTGCCATTATTTTCGGATCTGTAACAGATAATCATAAAATCAATCAGCAATACTGCAAAATTTTCAAAAGAATTATTGACTGTCAGGCCATTCATCCATTAGATGATCAGCGTTTTTGGTTTCTTTTGTTTGATGCAGTTCATCTTCTTAAATGTCTGCGTAACAACTGGATTTCTGAAAAGTATCAAAAGTTATCTCTTGACAATAAAACCATTGTTTCTTTTTCTGATGTCAAAAACCTATATCATTATGAAAAAGATAATATTTTGAAATCAGTTCCTTTATCCCATGCTGCTAATTATCTAGACTTCAACTACAGAATGTGCAACATGTTTAAAAAAGATTTAACGAGAAAGTACTAGCTGCTTTGAAACTAAAAGGAGCTCATAAAACATCCTTATTTATTCAGCAGGTTTTAGATTGGTGGAATATTGTTAATGCTTGTGCAAAAGGGCAAAATATTAGACTAAGAGACCACAACCAATCTCTGCAAGATAAAAATTCAAATTATCTCCAAATATATTTAGAATTATTTAAATCTATGAAATCGGGGCATGCACCCAATTGAATTCAATGTATTACCCTGATACTAAAAAAGCCCTTGTGCAAACCACTGAAGGATTGATAGCTGTCTGCAAGCATTTGTTTTCAGTTTTTCATTACGTCTTACTTTGTGAGTTACAAAGTGACAGAATTAAAGGAGAATTTTCTGTTTACAGACAATCAAAAAAGGCAAATGCTTTTATGGCAGCTGGGGATGTTTTTTCTGCTTTTAAAAAGCGTTTAACTGCTGCAGCGTTTCTAGAATTAGTGGAAGTAGAACAACCCAATAAAAAAGATCACACATGTGTGATCAGTTTTTCAATTTCAATCAGTTTTGAAGTTGTGACTTTAATTGAAACTTGCATTTATGATGTGAGCCTTTCAGAAACTGAAGAGAGCTCTGTTGCCAATGTGGCAGGATGGCTGGAGAAAAAATGTGAGGGTGAACTAGTTTATGCTGAGGATGAACCTATACTAACAAACGAAGCTAAAGACTTATAGATAGATATTTGACAGTTCCTCATGAATGTACATATCAGCTAGTTAGAATTGGGTTATGCTTTGTGAAAAAAACTAAACACAGAGCATGTTGTAGAAAAAGACTTATAAACATTCTGTCTGTAATGGATACATATTATGATTTTGCTTTATCATCAAAAAATCTTTATAGACATTTAGCTAATGTTCTTTTGCATGGAATTCATAATTTGGAAAAAGACCAAGCAAAAAATGCATGTCTTTATCAGACATTGATAAAAAAGGCACGCCTTGCCGAATAATATTTATAGACTTTATTAATTTGTGTTTGTTGTTAATTTGCTTATAGAGTTTTATATATATATTATTTATTTTAGATTATATTATATATATATATATATATATATATATATATATATATATATATATATATATATATATATATATATATATAAATTTTACATTATTATAAAATCTACTAGAGAATATTTGTTTATTTTTTGCAGATAAACTTTCAAAAATTTTATTAAATTGACTTATTATTCTTTTTAAAAAGGTTTTATAGTTGCTGTTAACTTTTACTTTGTTATTAAGTTTTTAATAATACTAACTTATATTCACTGTAAAATTATTTTATTAATATTAGTTTTACAAAACATTTTTTGGTTAAATTTAACTTTATAAGGATTTAGTAAGAAGTATTTAATGGCCTTGGCTAGTAGGCGGCGAGATCTGTTGCAAGGACACGCCCCTGACAAGTGGCATTAGTGCAGATCTCGGGCTCTCTGAAACTTTATTGGTGATCGCAGTGCATTCCTGAGAAGGGATCACCATTTATAAGAAAAAAAACATTTTTTGGTTAAATTTAATTTTATAAGCGTTTAGTAAGAAGTAATTAATGTCCTTCGCTAGCAAAGTCAGGAAATTGAGTTTGCGCATCCTGCCATATAGTAGTCCTTGTCTCACTCATTAACCACTCTTTATATAATTCGCTCATTAAACAATCATTATTTAACTCTCTCATTAAACAATCATTAATATTAAACATTATTAGTAAAATTTAAATTGCCTATTACTCATTTTCCTTGAAAAACCACAAGCAATTAACCAAACTTTACTGTTTTCCTTTTTGCATACCTGCAGAGCACGAATAATGCCAGTTACAAATTTTAGCAAGTGCTAGTTGTGACCAAATGCCCCCCTCCTCCTTTGTTTCAGGGGTACACCAGTGTATCAAGCTGTATTAGAAGTCTATTGAAAAAATATTAAATAATTGCAAATATTGAAAGATTTATTAAATGGGTTGTATAAAACTGCACATTGAAAAACCTGTGGTTACAACAGTGAATATAAAAAACAGTAACTGTGACACTGTAACTGCTGCTAAATAAATAATTTTTTTAAACATTTAATTTTAAATCAAGTTATTTATTTTTAAAGAAAGCTATTAATGAAAATCCAAACAATTATTGTAAACTATCAAGTTATTGTAATTAAAATTTCTCATTTTATTTATATTATTTTATGTATGTTTTACAATAATAAAGTCTAAAATCAATTTTAACATCTTAAACTTTAGCTTATTTGATCTATAAATTTGTCACCTAAATGCTTGGTACTGATCTGTTGTTTGTTTCAACAGGTTACTTAATTCATGTATTAACACACACACACACAAAAAACTTACTTGTTTAACATCAAAATCAAGTACGTCTCTAAAATAAGATGGCATGTCTGTAAGGATAAAATACCAGACCCAGTTGTTTGTAAAATGAGCAACAACAATAGCCCAAACATGAATTGATGTGAACATTGAAAAATAAGGAATCTTGGCAATCTAAAATATTGGTAAATCAATTTAGTACAGAAAACTTAAAAGAAAGACTGTGAAGAAATAAACTCCCATCAGTATTTAATTTGTTTATCTATCCAATATTATCTCCAATAAATATAGTTTTATATAATAATATCTCCATAATCTATATCAATAATTAGAAAAGTAATAACTGTAACATTTAATTTACAATGGTTCAATTTGAAACTAAAGATAAAGTTTGTATTTAGTACAATATTTATTTTAATAATATTTAGTGTCAATTTAGTATAATTTGTACTAAAGAATTATTAAAACTGCTACTTTTTTTTGAGCAGGGATAGCTCAGTTGGTTAGAGTACTGCTTAAAGTTCAAAATTATTATTGGCTGTAGCAGCAGCATTGCAGGTTCAAATCCCGCCTACTTAGTGTAAAAGTAGTACCTTGAAAAGAGAACTCAATGTATGTCTCGATAAGCTCTGCTATTACAATAATTCCTTCTTGACTAGTAAACAAATAATCAAATAAATGAAAATGTATCTTTAAATTTGTTTACTTTTGAAATTTTATTATATATTAAAATTTAAGTAAAAAGACATTTAATGAAGATGTCAGAAAATAAACAAAATGAAGAGGAAAGCTTACTTTCAACTTAATCAGAAAATAATTTCAAATATAAATTTTTAGGCACTTTAAAGTAAGTTGGATTTCTAAAATAATTAATATTTTAGTTATGGTTAAGGTTGTAGTCAGAGTACTCAGTAATTGCATAAATACATCACCATTCTTATAATGAGATTTTAAATAGAAACATTAATACATCACCATTCTTATAATGAGATTTTAAATAGAAACATTAATACATCACCATTCTTATAATGAGATTTTAAATAGAAACATTAATACATCACCATTCTTATAATGAGATTTTAAATAGAAACATTAATACATCACCATTCTTATAATGAGATTTTAAATATTAACAACACTTGTATCTGTTATATTGATTTTTATGCAGTCCCATAAAAAGTAAAAGTTAATAATTTTGACCAATCAAAATAGTTTCTGCTTTACAAACTTTTAAGACAAGAACAAATTTTATTTCTTTCGATGTATTTTTGAGAATAACAACTTAGCGTTCATTATGCTTTAAATATTTTTCATTAAAATTGAGAGTTTTTATTCTTTAATTTTTTTAGTTATTTTCAAGTTATTTGTTTCTCTCATAGTTGTTATGTATATTGATGATTAGATGCTAATCTTCTTTAATAAAAAACTTCACACTGCAGAAATTTTTCTTTATGATAAGCAACTTTTAATTAAAATTTGCTTATCAAAATTTAATTAAAAGTCCTAATTAACAAGTTTTATATTAGATATCTTGACAATTATATTGAAATGAGTATCTTCTATTGGTAAGTCATAAAGGTTTTAATTTTGGAATTTTTTGATTCTCTTTGATGTATACAATTTTTAATGGCTCAGCTTCTTTATTAGTTATTCTATCAGCATTGAAATTTTTTGCACTATATTGAACACTTTTGAGAAATGCATTTTTATCTATTTTTTTTATTTATTTTTTTATATTCATATTAAACTCTTATATTCATATTGAAATTGAACCATGTTTTTTGCAAATAAATGGAAAAAACAAGATTCAAATGTGTGTTTGATGTAGCGAAAAAATTAGACTGATCTTTGCTTTTCTATAGATAAAAAAAATGTCAACCACATTTTTGATAGACAAAATGATCTTTTTCACCGTCAATTTGATATTTAATTTCAGAGAGAACTAAAGATGCTGAAAGTAAAACTTGAAATCAAATATTTAACTGCCAAACCCAGAAAGATGATAAAGCTTACACACATTATATATTATGCTTATTATAGAATGTTTGCTCATTTATTAACTTCCAGATGTGATGGATACTAGACAGAAATCCTGCTTTTATTACCAAAACATGTTTTGAGAATTTTAAAAAATATCAACCATATTTTATAATAACATCTCCACAAAAAATTCATTGAAAAAAAATGCTACAAAATTATTTTATTTGAATAATATTTAAATACTATAGTTTTTATGCATTAAAATCTAATATAATATAATTTATGCAAAATAGTTATTTATTAGTTAAATATTGGTAAAATAGTATTTTACCAATATTTAAATTTTGCTTCTTTTGAGACCCAGGTTTACACGCTTTTAAAGAATTATTATTTTGATAATATGAACTGTCTGATGTTTAAGAATCTTAACCTACCTTTAAAAATTAAAAATTAAATATTTGAAACATGGTGTATATTTATTTAGGGTCTGAGCAAATATTTCTCTAATATGTTGCTTTAAGAGCCAGTCTAATGTATAAACACACACATAGACACACACACACACGTACATAAAAATACACACAAACACACACACATACATACAAATATACATTTTTGCATACATACATACACACATACATACATACATACATACATACATACATACATACATACATACATACATACATACATACATAGAGTGAGCATGCAATTAATTTTACCTTAATTTTATTTAATTGTTATAGATTTATAGTTTATTTTCTAGTGTTATGATAGTACAATATAAAATTGGAAAACATTTTTAAAATTTTGTAAAGTACTATTTGTACTATACAAATTATAAATGAACTTAGGCCAAAAAAGATCATATCAACCTTAGTGTCAGAAGAGCACTTTTGCAAGCTTTCTTCTAAGAATCTTTTTTCATTATCACTGATGTATGGATGTTCATCTGGATTGTTGAATACCAAAATCATCCAAAAAAGAAGCAAAACAAGACCCAAAATACCTGGAATAAACAATATGTTAATAACATACCTTGTAAAAAACTAAATTTAGTGAAAATAAAAAGATAAAAGTGATAATTAAGATAACTAAAAATTAAAATAAATGAAAAATAATCACACTGAAAAAGTATTGCACTTAAAATTTGCATTATAAAAAACTCATGTTTACATTAAATTTATATAACAAATATATTTGCAATAACTTACAAGTTAACTGCTTTTTAACACTTTGAAAAATCTTTTTTTTTTTAATCTCCTATTTAACTGACCTGTTTAGAAAAGAAAGAACTGTTTTTAATCTAGTTTGTATAAAAATGGTGAATGCATGGACCCTTGATAAACACTGGCCAGTAAAAAATATAAATAATGGATTCAGTATATCATCAGTGTATCAGTAAAAAGTTTAAATTTTTTGTATTTTATAGAAAAACACTTTAGTACTATTGACTGCTTGTTTTTTATAAGAGTTAAATGTTATACTTTGTTGTTGCTAAGTATGTTTTATTTACAAAAAAAAATACTTGAAAGAATGCTGCAAAGATATAAAATATATAAAAATACTTAAAAGAATGCTGCTTAAAAAGTGCTGCAACTTATTAAAAAAAATACTATTCTATATATTTCTTCTGTATTTAGATGAACTTTTTGTACTAGCAAAAGTTAAATGAACTCTTCGATATAGTTCTGTTTCATATTTTGTGATTGATGTCTTTTATTATCATTTAATAAAACTCCGCTAATATACTTTATGAATTTCTTTAGTTGATCAATATAGTAAAACATTTTGCATACTTTTTCTGAATTGCATTAATTTCTATTGTCCGTCAATATTTCTTTTAAGAGTTGTGGTTAGTGTGCTATTTTTTATTACTTGATTTAAAATTTAATTAGACCAAAAAAAAGTTAATTTTAAGAAGGTAGGCATAAAAACTTATCTAAAGTAATTTTTAAAAACTTATCTTAACTTATTTAAAAACTTAAGTGATTTGTGTAATTTCAGCTATTTTAAAAAAATATTTTTAAAAACTTTCTTTGGGATATAAAATTCAGCACCACAAAAATCTAGTGGATGCTTATAAAATCTAGTGGATGCTTATAAAATATTTTTGAAGAGAAAACTGATAATGGCTTTTTCTTATGTTGCTTCGTACTCTTAAGAAAAATAAAAAAAAATTAAGAGGGAAAAACAGATGTTTTATGATCATCTAATGGCTGATTGAAAGACCTGTGTATTAACCAGCAAAACAGCTGTTAAGTATCCTGCTAAAAAGGCAGTTGACACCAAAAAACAAGGATTGATTCTGATTATGTAGAGCATTACATACAGAATCAAGCTCTCAAAATGATGATGACTCTGACAATTTTCAGTCTTTGTTCGAACCACCCAATAGAAAGCTAAAAATAAAAGAGAATAATATATCTCTAAAAAGTTTTTTGAAAAATATATTTTTACTTTATTTTTGATTAAAGTTAATCCCAAATATCATCATATGCACAGAAGCTGGTATCTATATCCACAAAAGAACAAGAATGACTTGATCATCAAGTTATTTTCATGGTGATATTCTCAGATCATATCAATCTGCTTTTTTTAGAGTTGGTAAATTGTTACAAGTTACAACTCTAGCTAAACTTAAGGCAGCTTTGTCTATTCAACCATTCTTTATCTTATATGTTGATAGAAGCTATGCCACATTATTGCATTAAAAAAGAGAAACCTTTGGTAAAGTTATGATAAAGAAAACATTGTTGAATACAAAGTTGTCCATTAAATATCCCTAATCATTTACAACACCTGCTCTGTCAATATAGCTAAAACTTATATCATTTATTTTTAAATACATAAACTTAACAATAATATTTTTTTCAAGTGAATTTTATAATGGTTTTGGTGGAATAATACAGATTTAAAGGACAGTGTTTAAAAAAATTATCTGAGCAAACATTTTTAAAAATATTTTTCCTAATAAAATTGCTGTATTTTTGTAAATTTCGACTTTTTTGGCAAACTCAAGATTAATAAAAATAAAAGATGTTTTTAAATAGATTTTATTTATTTTATTATAGATAATCAATGCCTAGATGTCTAGAAGATTATATCTTCTAGACGTCTAGGCATTCATTCGACTAATGATTTTGATTCTTCTATACTTCTATGACCGATCTCTAATTTTTCGGTCTAAAATTTCCCACAAATGTTCAATAGGATTAAGGTCTGGTGATTGTGCGGCCATTCCAAGACCTCAACATTATTTTCAGCAAACCACTCCTTGATTTTAGTGGTACTATGCTTGGGATTGTTATCTTGCTGAAATGTAAAATCAGATCCTAGCCGAAGATTTAGAAATTTTACTTTAATATGTTTCTGTATTGCACCTGATCCATTATAATATCAATAAATTGGAGTTTTCCTTCCAAGTCATTGAATCCCATACCATCACATTACCGCCACCATACTTGACAGTTCCTCTCATGCAGATCAATCTGTTTTTGGGCTTCATCAGATGACTTTAAGTTGAATTTCGATTTGTCTCTCCACAGGATCTTTTTCTAGAATTGTAACGGCATGTTTTTGAACTTCTTAGCAAACTCTAATTTTCTATTCATGTGTTTCTTACTCATAATGGTTACGCACAAGTCGTCCTTGAAATCCCTGATCTTGGATACGATTTCTGATTGTCTGATGAGATAATTTAATTACATAATTCTCTTCAGCTTGCTGAGCCAGTTTTTTCGAGCAGAAATGAAGCGATTTTTTCTTGTATAATTAAGTTTCTATCAAAACTCTTAGAAGTCTTTTTTTTGCGACCGTGCCATTCTTTTGTGGCTGTTGTTCTGATCAAATTATACTTCTTCATTATGATGGATACTGCATTATGGGAACTCCAGTCTCTTGCTGCACCTGACGATAGGTTTTACCCTGATTGACTAGATCCACAGCTAAATTTCTCTGAGAAACAGTCCAGTGATGCTTACCTCCAACCATTTTACTTAAAAAAAACAGTTTTTTGTTATGCAACTTCATTAATTGCATAAAAATTTACTAAAATATTTCAACCAATTTCACATAAAATTAATTAAAATTACCTAAATATCGCTTGGTCAGATAATTTTTTTACAAGCCTATTCAATACTAAGTTTCTTTTAGGATAAAAAATAAACCAACTGAAGCATGAACCAATAAATATGAATGCTAAATAACATACTATTCCCAATAGAATTAAAATAACATACAAAGTAAGTATTATTATTCATTTAGATTTAGAGCGTAAACATCTTTTTTTGGGAAAAACTTGTTTGGTCAGAAAATTTTTTGAGACACTATATTTAACAGATGTATTTCTTATCATGAACCTTGTTTTGAAAAAAAATTGTTATTTTCCACTTTTTCTGATTTTAAAGGGATCCCAAACTCCCAACACACGTTGTGCTCATATTAAAGATAATGTTGATAAAAAAGGTTTGAACCAAGTTTTTTTGTTTAAAAATAAATAATAAATGAATACTAAGTAAAACTAATTTTGTTGTTTTAACTGAAGCTCGCCTTCTCCATTTTACTCAAAAACTCAGAGACTTTAAATTATACGTCGCAATCTACAGACTTCGGCGATTCCTTTGAAGTGTGTTTAATTCATATAAACTTTAGTATTTGACATCACGGTAAACTCTGGAAAATTTTTTATTCATTACTTGTTTAGTTATTTATTTTCTACTTTTAACATTTAAACAGATATTAAAAACCATAAATATTTTATGCTGGTTCATTGCTATAAATTGTTATTGCGTTATATTTAATGTTAATAAATGATGAATATTTATTATCTCAATCAAGATTCTGATAAAAAATAGTTTTATATTAATTACCTGTATAAAATTAGTAACAGCTTTTTTATTTGGTTAGACAATATTTCGTTTGAATTTGCTTTGCATGAAGTTTGGGAAGTTGAACAAAAAAACTTAGTTTGAATAATCGTGTCTAAGTATATTTAAAACAAATGATTTTAATGACGGGGGTTTAAAAGTCTTATTATAACAAATGTATGTAAAAAATAAATAACTAAATAAAACTTATAACATTAAACATCTTTTTTTTATTATATTACAACTGTAAATATTAAAATATTAACTTGAACTATTTAAATTCACATTAATTAGAACGACTAAGCAATAAATAAAAAGCCCCTAAAATTAAGAGACTTTGTGTTGCTTATTTAATTATTGAGGTTGTTTATATTGTTCATGTTGATTATTTTCATCAATATCAAAATAGTTCCAGACTGGACTGTTAGTTGCTTTACTCATTGTTGTTGATTTATTTCTAATTTAATTTTATCTATTTAAGGTTAATTCTATGTTTAGAAAAAAAAGTTTTGATTTCATCATTCTATTTATAAAAGCTTTATAAAAGTTGAAAACTTTTTATATAAGCGTGTTCTTTTATAAAAGAGTAGAACAAAGAAGAAAGAAAAGTTACACCTAATTAAACTTTAATTTAATTTTAAAGGAGGTGGAGGAGGATGAGGGAAGAAAGGGAGGAGGGGGTTGGGGTGGGGTGGGGGGGTGACGTGTTTGTTATTTTACTGATCGAAGCCAAAAAATTTTTTTTGCCCTCTAACTATAAATCCAATTTTGCCGACTCCAGCCTCCAATTTGCCAACTAAGAAAATTTGTAAGGGGGCTAGACACCCCTATGTCCACCCTCGGGACGGTCCTAATATACTTTTTTTCATAACCTTTAACAGGTTATAATTGGTACGGAGTTGCCAACATTTTAAAAGTTTCATTATCAAAAATCAAATGCAAAATATATTTTCCTTTTATTCATATCTAATTTAGCAAATTTAGAAATTTAAATTAAATCAGCATAATCAAAAAGTTTTTATAAAAAAAAAAATTTAACAGTTCATCAAGTTAATCAGTTCAGTTAATCAGTTCAGTTAATCAGTTCAGTTTCATCAGTTCATCTCTAATCAATACTGTCAGTTAAAGAAAGTAATTGTTTATAAATACTTTTTTCCAGCTGGAAAACAAAAATATCATAGTGTAAAAATTACCAAAGAAGTTAGAAAATAGTTCCTATAACATTCTATATAATGCAAAATACTTGTATGAAAATTATAAGATTGGTAAGTAAAGTTTTAAAATTTGTTTTAATTTAAAAACAAAAGAAATATAAGTAAGAGATATAAAACTAAAAATTATTAAGATATCTGTAAAAAATCAGTTGCTCCTATTAAATAAAAATAACTTATTATTTTTATTTAAAAAAAAATTTTGTTTGCAATGTTTGGAAAAAAAATACAAATAAATTTGTTTTGCTGTATGTTAAAAAAATACTACAACGTACTTATAGAATAAAAGTAGAAAAACGCAGCGTTGTTTGGGGCTGTCCATAAATGATGTCAGTAATTTTTCTCAATTTTTTTACCCTCTCCCCCCTGTGTCAAACTGTCAATTTTTGGCCAACCCCCCCTTATACATGATGTCAGTTTTTGTACCCCCCCTCCCTAAAGTAACATTAAAAATATGTATTAACACCATTGATATTTTTCTGGTTAAATTATACATTTATACAATAGTAGATCTTTATACATTTATATAATAGCAAGTTATATTATAGAACAGTTGACACTTTATCAAATAATGACCAAACTAATCAAATTTTTATTCTACATCTATAATATAAATTCAATCACTCATCATCTTCCCATGGGTTGTTGAAGCGATCTTCAATAATAATGACAATTGTATTTAAAATAATGACAAATGCCCTTATGTGTTTGCTTTGAAGTACACTTTATAATCCGCTAGGGATAGAATAATGATTCTTAAATTTATATACAATTTGTTGATATTTGTAAGTACTTAGATTTAAAGTTAAAAGGTAATACAATAATAAAACGTTGGTAAATTTTTAATTTATTTCATGTCTCTAGGAAACTTACATCAAATTCCCCACGAAGCAAACATGCCGTTAAAAAACCACATTGTAGATGTAAAAACCTTAATAATCTGCTCGTATAAACTTGAATTTTTTCTTTCTTTAATTGACATTATTTTGGTCTCAACACCCCTCCTTTGCATTGTAAAACTTTTGTGAATTAAACGCGCTTCAAAGGAATTGCCGAAGTCTGTAGATTGCGACGTATAATTAAAGATTCCAAGTTTTTGAATAAAATGGAGAAGACGAGCTTCTGTAAAACAACAAGATTAGTTTTTCTCAATTTTCATTATTTATTTATTTTTAATCAAAAAAACTTGGTTTAAACCTTTTTTTTAACATTGTCTTTAATATGAACACAACATGTGTTGGGAGTTTGGGATCCCTATAAGTTTATAAGTAAACTAAAAGATCCTCAATTAAAAACGCCAAGCATAAAAGACTTCATTCTCCTTCTATTGTAAAAACCTGGAAAGATGATTATAAGCTATTGAATAGGTTCGTTTTATTAAAACTTTTCTTTTTCAACATCTAAGATATTCATCATCATAGATGCACATTGCATATACATTTTATTATTTCTTTTACCAGGTTTTTACATTGAGTTTTTGTACTACTTGAATACCAATATTTTACCCAAACTAAAGCTGCCAACAAAATAGATATGTTCTCACTCAAGGTGAAAAAACAGAGCAATTTATGTCTTACTAGGCTACTTTATAAACCCTAAAAAAAGAACATAATTGAAAAAATTGCCAAATTTATCAGCTATTCCTGGTCATATGTATGATTTAAAATGAGGTAGGAACGCAATTGGATAGAAAAATTAGGAAAAAAACTAGTTTTTGGCAATATAGAAATGTGAAATATAGTTATAAAGATTGTGATGATGGTTATAATATTAATGATGATCACGATGATGATTATGAAAATGATGATGAGCAATATTTTTAATATTTAAATGTATAAACATAATTATATAATAAAAAAAAATATTCTAATATGTTAGACATTTTTAATATTGATGCAAAGAGCCAATATCAATACAGCAAGCTAATTTTAATTGGCTTTATTGTAAAACAGAAAAAAAAAAAAAAAAAAATTAAAATACCAAAAAAGTAGAATGCAGAAGGCCAGCCAAAAGAGGCTATAAGCATGCCTGACACCACAACAGAAAATATTGTTCCTGTATACATTCCTAAAATAAATAAAATAGTCTAGCATAGGTATATGTGAATATATATATAAACAGCCTGCAAAATTCTTTTTACCGATGCAAAAGCCAACCTATCTTTGCTTTATGACAACATATAGCTGCCGACCTAAATCTTTTAAAGTGGCAGCATGCAAATACAAATATATGTAAAAAATATGTAATACTCATTATCAGTTCATAATTTATTTATTGTAATTACTTTTTTCAAGTTCAACAAGTTTTAATTAAAAGAACATCATTCCTTTTTTTTTTCAATTCATTTTGTTTATTATCAAATTTATTCAAGCACAACAAGGTTATATCATTAAAAAGTTAACACAATGTAAAAAACTTTAATTATTTTAGACACATTAATTGAGAAGGGTTTTAGCTAAGTTATTCTCTTTCTTGTAACCTCGTGTTAACTAACTAATATATCTGTAACAAAAAACTTTTACAATCCAAAAATTGAATAGTCAAGAAAAACCAGATAAAACCGGTAATAAATAACAACAAGCCGTATATAATAAAACACTTTTAACATACACCCCTATGTTGACTTGGTCAACTAATAATATAACTCTTTTAAACGCCGCAAATTTGCGCTTGCGCTTGCTGCCTGTCTGATAAACTTCTGTTGCACATCATTTTTCATCATAAAATTTTTAACTTCCTTAGATATAAAGATCTTAAAATTATCGGAGATAATAAGATCAGGAAAACCTCTTCGTGCTGCAAAAAGCTTAAAAGCTCTTATGAAGGCCGGAATTTTCATGTCAGGTGTCAGTTCAAGATGGATTGCTCGACTAGACGCGCAAGTCAATAGTAAAACATAGACCTTACAGGCAGCATCCTTATTAACTGTTTTTACAAATAAAGGTCCTGCATAATCTAAACCAGTTGCTTGAAAGGAATATAAATTATTAACTTGAAAATCAGGTAAATCTGGGCTGCTAGGTGGTAACAATGTTCTTCCTTGGAACTTCTTGCATGTTACACATTGTCTAATAATACTTTTTATCGTCGATCGTCCTTTTATTATCCAGAATTGAGATCGTACTTTATTCAACGTCAATTTGATTCCATGATGCAAAACTTGTTCATGACAGTTACGAATCAGTAATATTGTAAACCAACTTTCTTTTCCACGTAATATTAAAGGATGTTTTTCTGCAAAGTTTAAATTAGCATTTTCAAATCTTCCTCGTAATCGTATTAGTTTGTCTTCACCATCAAATAACTTTAAAGAGTTTTTCAGTTTATCAAAACTTTTGTCATTTTGTAAAATTCTTTGCTCATCTCTAATCCATTCATTGAGTGCAAATTTGTACTCATCTTTCGTCAAAGTAACTTGTTTGTTTAATGGTAGCTTTTTAATTGTTTTTAACAAATTGTTGATAAATCTAAATACATATCCAGTACTAATAATTAACTTTTCAAATGAACTAAATCTACATGCATCAATGATACTACTCAAACTTGGTGATGAGTCCAAAACAACATTACAAATAACTACATTTTCTCCTCTCTTACACTCAGACATAATATCAACCTGAAACTTTTTATCAACTTTAAATTCATTTATCTCTTTGTTCATATTTAACAAAAATTCTGGTCCTTTCAACTAATGTCCAAAATTGACAAAATTACTTATTCGAGTAGGAAAATCAGCTGGGTTCAACTCCCCACTAATATGATTCCATTTTTCTCTATCAACCATTTTTCTAATGGCATTCACTCTATTCTCCACCCATGGTTTCCACGTTCTTTCCTTACCTTTAATCCAATACAATGCCACTTCTGAATCACACCAGCAACTTACATCCTTAAAGTGCACTCTTCCCTTCAATACTTTTAACACTTCCTCTAAAAGTCGGCTCAGTAACACACAACCTAATAACTCTAATCTAGGTATACTTAATTCTTTTAAGGGTGAAACACGTGACTTTGAAACTAAAAACTTCCTATTCACTCCTAAACTAGTTTCTACAACTAGATATATAAAAGCACAATAAATTAATTTAGAACTGTCACAAAATCCATACAATTGAACACGCTTACTACTCTCATTCACTCTCTCAAATACAAATCTTGGGATTCTAACAAAACTTAATAATTCAAGATCCTTTAAAAATGCTGTCAAAGCTAATTCTATTGCTTCTGTTTCTATTTCATCCCATCCACTTTTACCTCTACAAATTAATTGAAAAATTGTTTTTACTCTTGAAGTTATTGGTGTTAAAAAACCTAGAGAATCAAAGAAAGATGCTGCTATCTTAAGAATATTTCTTTAAGTAATTTTTAGCATTCTTGCATTTTAAACAAATTCTTTAAACTCAAAAACAAATTCATCTTTTAATATATCCCACTCAATTCCTAAAATTTTTATAAAATTATTATTGTTCATTTTTAATGATTTTACTTTCAAAATATTTTAACTCATCAACTTTTAGATTACATTTTGAGTTTTCACTTTGATTTGTTTCCTTTTTATTAAAATAATTTTGTAATTCGTGATCATTTGTAATCCATTTTCTTAATTCGAATCCTGCATCTAAAAATATACATTTAGATTTTTTATAAAGCATTTTCCCTTCTGATTAATAGATGATCGTTATGTCGTCAACATAAAGATCATCTATTAATCTTTCAATAAATTTTTCATCATGTTTAATGTATTTATTAAGATGGTGTTTTAAAGTGGCATTTAAAAGAAAAGGACTGCTAGTTAAACCAAAAACAACTCTAAGAAATCTATATACAATTAGTTTAGCCTCTTTATCAGATATTCTCTTGTACCACAAGAACCTTAAGTAATCTCTGTGTTCAGGAGAGATTTCAATGTTTAAGAATGCTTGCTTTATATCAGCAATTATCCCTATAGCATTAAACCTAAATTTTAGTAAAATATCAAATATTTTTGACAATAAATTCGGACCTGAATACAAGCAATCATTTAAAGACGGTCCTGTTGTCGAACAGGACGCATCAAAAACAGCTCTAACTTTTGTAGTATCCTTATCTCTTCGAATGACAGGCCTATGAGGCAAATAATGCACACACCCTGGTTCTTTAAATATATCAGACTCACTAACTCTTTCTATTATATTAATCTTTTCATAGTCTATAAAAATTTGATTATATTCTGTAACCAGTTGTTTATCATTTAATCTTACCTTTAAATTAGCCAGACGTTTTTTACAAATAATATAGTTATCAGGTAAAAAATCATGATCAGTTTTGAATGGTAACTTTGTTATATATCGTTCCCCGTTATGTGTGAGATCTCTTTCAAACTGATACATCACACAACTCTCGGGAGATTCTATGGTTTCAACAGACCAAAATTTATTTAGATCTTTCCTAAGCTCATCTATTTCACTCTCAACCTCACAGTGCATAGAATGACTAGTAAAAACTGTTTTTGTGGTATTTTTTGTACTTTTTTCCAGAGAAATAGGACCACTTAATACCCACCCTAAGATTGATTTACTAGCTACTAGACCACATATTGGACTTCTTACGATTCTTCCAGTAATAAAACTGTGACAAAAGTCTATACCTAGTAAAATATCAACATGAAAATCAAAAGACCCATCATCATAATCAGCTAATGAATATTTGGATAATTGTTTAAATTGATTACAAGCTTATGACACATTTTGCCCTTGCAGAGGGCTACAAATAACTGGTACACATAAAGCTTCCATGTAAACACTGTGATCAGTATATTTATGTTTGACCTTAAATTGAACAACATTTAATAACTGCAATGTTTGTTCACTATCTTTCCCAAATGTTTTTATTATAATTTTCTCTTTCCTAATAGTTTTTAAATTTAATCGTTTTTGAATATTTTCACTTATATATGATCATTGGCTTCCACTATCAAATAAGATTCTTGCCTTTAAAGACTTATTTTCTAAAACTGCACTTATATTTGCCCTAGCTGTTTGCAACAAGATAGTTTGTTGGGAAATGTTAAGTGTTGCATGCCCAACAAAAGTGTTATCTTTTTCACACAAGGAAATAAGATGCTTTTTTTTGCATTTACTACAAATATAATTTGCTTGACAATTCTTTAATATGTGATTCGTTCTAAGACAATTAAAACATCTACCTTGCTTTTTTAAAATTTCTTTTCTGGTTGGAAAAATTTGTCACATTTTTACATTCCCAGGGGTTGTGATTTTCTGAACAGTATATGCAAGGATAATTATAATTTCTTTTGTTTTGGTAATCACTATCAAATGATTTTGAAAAAACTTTTTTGTAATTATTCTTAGAGTTCTGATTAATGTTCTGTGAATATAATCCTGCAGTTGTGAATAACTGACTATTATTTTTTCTGTTTTCAACATTTCGACTATTAGTTGAACAACACTCTATTGCATTTAATTCTTCTCGAAAATATTTTAATAATAAATCTATAGTCCAAACCTCCCCACCAAATATCCTCGAAATTAACAGAACTAAATCATATGGTATTTTTTCTTTCATAATAGGAATCAGAAGACTTCCATATGTGTTAGTTTCAACTTTTAATGATTTCAAATTTTGAACACTTGCCTCTATATCATAAAGTTTTCTTAAGCCATCAACATTATCACTATTTTTTACTTTCACAAGTTTTAATAATAAAACCATGTGTGCAGAGATTAAAATTTGTGGGTTACCATACCGTTCAGTCAATAAAGAAACTGCTTCTCTATAATTTTCTGACGATAAGGTTAAACCACAAATGGTAGTCAATGCTTGGCCTCCTAAATATTTTATTAAATAATTGAAATGATCAATATCGTTTAGGACATCATTGTTGTGTATGGCAACATTAAATTGATCCCAGAATGTTTGCTATTTTAAAAAATTACCCTTAAAAATTGGAAGTTCATTTTTTGGCAATCTACAATTAATTTTATTTTTAGAACTCTGTTCAGAATTATTATCAAACTCTAATTTTAAAGATTCTAACCTTAGATTTATTTTAGAAAGTATATTGTGAA